ATGAGTTAGTCTACACATCTCTGAAGTGGACTGGACTGAGCTGATAGTAAGCCTGAACTTGGGGGAAGGAGGGGCGGAGTTGAAAGTAGTGTAGGGGGGGTTTCCAAAATTGGGATTGCTTTAGTTTTGCAGTGTAAACTCATACTGCTGTGTTAAACAAGGCAGTAGGTACTAGGTAGCTCAATTGATTTTCAATAAAAGAGTTTTTAATCGATAGGATGGAAGCTGTCACGTTATTTTCATATACGAGCAGGTACATGAAGGTGTGAACACAGTACAGTTTCTTGAATAAAAACTCCATGGAGCAGAATGTTGTCCTTTCAGTTTATATTACCAGCACTGGAGCTAGTTAGTAAGATTTACAGCATTAAAAAACGTCAACTGCCTCCAGTCAAAGCCATGTTTGAATTCACACCCCCCAAATATTCCAACATTTGTAAATGCGTAATATGTGGTTCCAGACGTCATGGGTTTCATGACTGAAATTGTAATGATTTCAAAAGCAACTTTGTTTTTAGAATAAAGCTCAATTTACATTCATTACACTAGCTATCGTCAGACTTGTACTACATGTTCGTGTATTTGTCACAAGATTCACTCCAAATGTCATCAAAATGCAAATGTATGGTACCGAATTGTGGACTGAGGAAAGTCAATTGAAAAAATGCTGGATGAAATTCTCAGCTGGAAGACAGTAATGGGAATGTTTCTGACGAAGGAAGAAATTTAGGAAAATGGCAAGGAACAATTGGAGGAAAGACCCAAATATATGGGCATATCCAATGAAATTGCCATATGTTAAGAATTGGCGTTATGAATTAGAACAGTGTGCATATTGTGAGTAGCAAAATGCAGTTCTGTGAAATTTCTTGTACACTCACAACTAGTGAAAGGTATCCCAAAGGTACATATGAAGTTATACTGTCACTTGGCCAATAGCAAGGAAGGAAAACACCTGTCTCAGTTTGGAAAGTCTTATTCCCACAAGTCTTACAGTTACAAAAATTTTACCATTAAAACTTTGGACCGCAACTTGGTTATTTTAAATTTAAATTACAATCAATTACATCTTGATTTGGTCTTATCAAAAAACTTTACAATGTCACTTTATAGTTACATGTATTTACATTTACAAAAGTGGAATGCATATTTCAGTTCAATTCCCAAATCTCTGAATACAGCATTAGTCATTTACAAAACTATGTGCAAGTACTTAAATTACGAAAATTTACCCCCAAAAAAGATTGACTAAAACTGAATTATTACTGAGATTTACATTTATAAGAGAAAATAGACAAGGCTATAAATCTTAAAATTTATTGGAGCTGCATTGGTATCTACACAGAATTGCTTCAGATATTGACATGACCTGCTCTTGTTTTGTGTTTGCCCAATTAACTGATCACTTTAGCTTTGCCTGACAAAAGTTGGCTTAATGACAATTTTTGTTGACACACATCCCATGGTCTGTGTGGCAAATGCAACAAGACCATAAGTGCAAAAGCACTTGAAACATTCTTGATCGGGCTTAAAGTTAGCACCAACAAGTGCAGCCCGACATTTTCTCAAAATGTGACAGATTGTCAAGCAGTAGGCAATGACAGAAAACTTTACTGCCTATCAGCCCACACGATAGAAAGCAATCGGATTTGGTATGGAAGCTCAAATCTGTTTCAAGGGTAGCTTTCCAACCGTGCTAATCTCCTCAAACTCCTCTTGCTCTTACCACTCCCAATACTGTTCTTCTTCTTCGCAGAATTCTTCTCTCGGAAGGCAGGGCAGACAGAACTCACATGGAACTCACAACGGCAGTTGGTACAGAAGTCATAGCCACAACGCATGCATTGAGCTCGCTGACCGTTCATGAGTAATTTTGCGGGTGACTGGCAGGCGTCTTTGGCACACTTGGTTAGGGATTCATCAGCTAGGAGAGATTCTGAGGCCTGATTGGGAGAAAAATCATACCATTTTTAAATATTATGGTTGTCAAAACGCACATACATGTATATGTAACAACATGGCGTCTGCCACAAGATTTTAGCCAGAAGGGTTTAACCATTGTTTCAAGCATTGAGAAACTGGACTGTTTTTATAATTGTTATAATCTGTTGTAATTTGAAATGTTTGGTATATGTTCCCTGAATTATCAAGGCCTTTAGGGTATAAAAAAGTTTGATTAAGTTCGATTCTCAACGACTACACAAACCTGACGGAACTTGTCATGGTTACTCAGTCTCGGAGCTGGTGTACTTGAGGCTTGAGGCTCACCGAGTCGTTGAACTTCCCCAAGTGGTGTGGCTGCACTGACTGTATCACGCAGGAAAGGCTGCTTTGGGTAGTTCTCCTGTTGGAGTATAAATCAGGTTATAAAATTAAAGCAAAAATGTTACGAGGTTCTCTAGACCCATAGTATCCATGCTATCAGCAGTCTTCATTGTCAGGATGTCTTGTATCTGTCACATCCTAACTATGCTTAAATGCTGCCACATAATGGAAGAAATTCCAATATTTTTTCATTAACATCACCGCCCACCCTGATTTTTTATGCCCACCCCCAATTCCTTTCATATGCATTTAGTTTTAAGTGTGTTTTGACTTCCAAAAAGTTCTCATCAAATTACCAGGCACAGTCACATTTATGTCACGCGCAAGGAATGTAGCAAAATGTTTTTGCAGAACTTAAAACTAGCTACTGATGTGTGATTCATGCCTATAGCTGACATGCTATAATGATGCCATACGTCGTGTAGAACTCAGGAACCATGATCGTTTGATGTGAGATCAATACAACACTCTTTGATGCAAAGAAAGCAAATTAATACATGTACAAATATAAATTCAGCAACAACCACCCCCGATAAAAGCGAGAAAACGCTTCCCTGCTGATAGTCCGAGGGTCCCTCCAACCATGGAGGAAGGAAGATGTAAACTGGACGTTTGGAAGCTTTGCAGATCAGATGTTACATAGTCGTAATCACTTAACGTGGAGGGTAATAACAGCATATCTGATGCTGATCTGTGAGGCTACCTCTCTGACCAGGCCCTAGCTTCACTACAGGGACTTTTCCTTACTGGGACCTCGCAAAACAGCTATAGATGACGATGCGGAAGGGCATTCTTCCAACGTTTTCAAGGTTGTAGCTGTGCTGGCCGGCACTGGGGATGCAAATGAAGCTTGCTGGCCATACTACATTATTAGAATTTTTTAGCATTGAGAGAGAAAATGGGCTTGTGTTTTTTTTTTTATATTGTCCAAAACAGCTGGCACCAAAAAGTCCTTAGCTACAGTTCTGAATGTTATTAATATAACTCTATGGAGAGGGCCCTATTGAAGGGTCTTGGCACCCCCTTACTTTCAGGCCTGTTTATCAATGGGATTTTCTCAACTGTGCCCTCGAATGGGAGCCAAAGAATCCAGGGAGTGACCCGGGTCATGTTACTACACAGTCCTATGATTTCTTTGGCCAAACAAACTTCTTTTATGCTCCCAGCCCAACGGAAAATGAGTGCATATCGGATTCCATTATGATTAAAAGGACACCGTGCCACCTTGCAGTGCACACATTTGAGAGCTGCAAGGGCCCCTATAGTATGGACCTTAACCAAAGGAGTCTCGTATCTAGAGATCCCCTTATTAATCTCGATGATAAATGAATGGGGCCCCAGCAGGTTGGTTCCTGTTGTGAAGGCGGGGCTTGGTCAGAAAGGTAGACTGGCAGACCCCTATCTCTGATGATGTACATTCAAAACTGGATGGTTCAAGAGAAATCGTTTACCTTGACATCTTTTGTCGGCTTAGGTGTCTCAAGGAGAAAACATTTTTTCCTCAATGCAGCCATGGGGCTAAATTTGACAATGTTCCTCCACTCTTGACAAACACAGCTGAATCTGGAGAGAACATACGTATTCAAAAAGATAAAATGATTAAATAAAGTGAAATAAATTTTACCTCAAAAGGTTCTACAAGTGGTACGCCTAACTGACACCTTAATTTATTTTAAGGTTTAAATTCAGCCATTCTTAAATCCTGCATGGTTTGATTTAAAGAGGAAACAATGTCTGTACACTTTTATTGATTTAGTTTTTGCAGTTTTTCAGATCTTTTTAACTCTAATTTACATATTGTTCAGGAGTCATGATTCAATTTTTGAATTTTTTTCATGCATCAACTTGTGATCAACATTAGACAACCTAACAATAAAAAAACTTAGAAAGCAAACAAAACGAAACAAAAAAAAATAAAAACAAACCAAAACGAAAAACAGTAAGCCAATAGGCCTAATTCAAAAATTTGATGCTTTGGGCCTGAAAGATCTGACAATGTACCTTACAATATCCCCATCACTGAGTTCTCTTGTGATCTTATTCAGCAAGGCTGGTTCATGATGTTTCAACTCTGTTATAATGTCCAGCTTCTCCAACCCCATTTTACAAGGTCGTCCAGCATGTTCGACGAGCATTCCTGGTGATCCATAGCCAGAGTCTTCATCGGCCATAGCCTCCTTATAAAACTTACTTAGACTGTTTGAACTGACTGCTGGTGTACCGTAAACTTCATCCCGAGGAACAATTCGTGTGAACTCAACAACAGGTGTTGCGTAAGATATCTCTTCTGACATGTCTGAGGATGCCCTGACTTTCTTTGGACTTCTCCTACATATAGGGGTTTCTCTAGGGAAATCCAAGTGGTGTGCTGAGTTCGAACTTATCAGTGGCAGTGCTGAAGAAATCTTCTCTTCCTTGTTATGATCCTCAGGCTCAGCCATTTCCACTGAGATAAACTATTTTAGGCTTAGGCCCATACGTGGAGCAAAGGCGAACACCAGCAGTAAGTCGTTGTGCACTAGTTAAAAACCAAACGAAAATTGTGCATTTTGGGCAGAATAGAGCTCTTCTTTAGTCCCTTAGCTCTTTGTTAAATACGAAAATGAGAGAAAATTCAATTAACACTAGATCGATCACTTGATCAAATTTCAATTGTGAGGAAATCGGTGAAAATTCGAAAGACGACGCGGTATGTTTTCCTCGGGATGATTTTTAAGAATTCGCGCGTGTACACGGGTTCCCATCATCCTTTGCGCGATACGGACGCGTCGTCTTCAGCCTGGCTCCCAGAATCCCACCGAATATTTACAATAACTTAGTACCGCATGCTCACTAGATCACTGACTACACTGTTTCAGAACGCATGTGCGCATGTACCTTTGCTTGTCGCGGCGTCACGAGGAAAGCTGAGGTTTAGCTCCGCGTCCCCTCCTTCCTCCATGGTCAAGGTAGAAGAAAGATGATTCGATAGAAAACAAGAAAGTCTAATTTATCTAATCTTGTCATTTCTTTTTTTTGGCTTGTTTTGATCAGATTTGCGTCGGTGTTTTATTCCTCCATGTTTGTACTCAGGCCGACTCGTACCCAAGTCAACGCTTTAGTCATGTAACTGTTACAGTCACTTCGCCCCTAACCACTTCACCCCCATCTCCACATCGGGATCAGGTCAACTCGGACCCATTCCAACTTGGACCCATGCCAACTGGGACCCAGGACCAACTCGGACCCATGCCAACTCGGCCCCAATACTAACTCGGACCCTCGACCATCTCAGACCCACAACCAACTCAGACCCACGCCAACTTGGACCCACCTCGAGTCAACTCGGACCCACTGAGTCTTATGGGTTATGGTTGCACTACACCAAAAGGGCCCATACAACTTGACCGTTTGCGACTTCGGACAACTCGACGGTCGAGTTGGCAAACGGTCAAGTTGTCTGACATCCACACCAAATACGTGCCCGTAGACCTAAATAGCGCCGACTGTTGAACCTCGCGAAGAGGCCTTTATTTTTTTCGCTGGAAATTCAAGATTATTTTTCTTTGCTGGCTGGAAATTCAATATTATGGCCAGATCGATCACTTTTCATTTCAATTTGATGAACTTTTTTAATTCGCCTTTTCCTGAAGATACCCCCCTAATAGTAGTAAAACTATGCGCTCAGCTCTGAATGTAGCCGCCCGCCTCTATCCAAAAAAGGCCCGCAATGTGGAATTTTTGTGAAAAAATACCCTGAACAGGAAACTATCAATCGCAAATTCAGGATTTATATTAATAATTCTATGATCCCTCGAGATTATGGCTCCTCTTATTGTACAAAAAAGTGGGATCACAAAATATTAATAATGAGCTCGACAGCAGACACACGACGACGACAATAGGAAATGATCCACATTTCATTTTAAAATGATTTGATTTGTGTTGGGTCCGAGTTGACTCAGGGTGGGTCCGAGTTGGTCGTAGGTCCGAGTTAGTATTGGGTCCTAGTTGGTTGTGGGTCCGAGTTGCTCGTGGGTCCGGGTTAGTATTGGGTCCAAGTTGGTCGTGGGTCTGAGTTGGCATGGGTCCGAGTTGGTTTGGGTCCGAGTTGACTCGAAACCTCCACATCGCCCCGTCCCCACATCGCCCCATCCACGCTTTGCCCCATCCCCACTTCACCCCGTCCGTGCTCGAGTATGTTCCAAGCCTCTTCCAAAAAATGGTCGAGAGCAGAGAGACATGATGAGACACAGGAGTTCCGCAAATGACATGACGTTATAGGCCTGCGCCTACGTCCAAGTCCGACTGCGTTGTCCATTGTGAATTTGGCCTAATACATATGGTCAAACTAGCATTGGGTTTATTTGTCATCCTCTTCAAATTTATTTCAAATTTCTGTACACGTCGTTCTGGTAGTTGTCAATGTATCCAGAAAGCTGTGCCCCGGCGATCGGATAACCTGGGCGCGCGGCAGCAGGAATTTTTGTGGAAACATGTACGAGCAAAACAACAGATACATTTTAAACTCATGAACACAGAAAATACTCTCATATAGACAAGGTACTGCCGTAAGTTCTGTAAATTAACTTGAAGAAATCTTGCAATGTCAATTTTGTTCTGTGCATGAGGTCACGTACATGTACGGTTGCCCATGACATGAATAGACTGGTTGCTACACTCTATCACGCATTCTCTTGCACAGGTGTGGCACAGTGCGAACCAGCGCTTTCTGCACGTGTTTTTAGTAACTTTTTACCACAGCGAAACACGAGAACTCGTTAGGCCTAAAGCAGCAGAAGTTGCTTTTCCAGCGTTGCAAATTTATGTGACTGGGAAAACATGTAAACACAAGTGTTAAAATGAGAACAAATGTCGTTCTGAGGTGTTTGTGAAAACAAAAAGACAACAGGATTTATTTATTTGTCTTTCCTATATTTATAAAAAATGTTTTCTAACTTTCCAATAAAAATTAAGAATCTCGCCGAAAAATTGGGCCGGTCGGGAAATCGGAAGCACTGTTTTGGCCCTTGCAAGTTGGATTCTTCAACCGTTATTTGGGAACTGAAACATCAGTGTTTTTATTTGTTGTATCTAGGCCCATGCTTCTGTTACTAAAGCACACAGTGAACGATAGTCGGTGTGGCAAAGTGAAAATGGAGCAAAGTGATCAACACGGAAGTTGCCTTATGCCCGAGTCAATTTGTACCCTTGCATGTATTATTGTCATTAGTGGATTTTTTCTTTGTAACAGTGGCATAACTCTGAGACTGTGCTACTGCAAGTGTATTAATCCTACCAATAACTGCTTTGCTTACAAAGAATCAACTTTTTAATTGAGAAAACGCTGAGGGCAACTCACTTTTCTGTTTCTCATTAATTATGTTATACAATCCTCTCTTTCACTTTGAAAAATCCTTTTAAGTACAGACGTGAAATAAATTCTAACGTATGGAGTACGAGTTGTTCTGGGTACGAGTGGTCCTTGGTACGGGTTGACGTGGGTATGAGATGACGTGGGCGGGAGTTTGGGGGTACGAGTTGACCTGATTACCCCACAGTTCAGGGAGGGTAACTGGCCAAGTATCTTGCCTGCCAGAATGTAGGGGATTGCAGGATTGATTTACTTGTATGTGTAGCTCCAAAGCATTGTCTGTCCTCATTTCCAGAAACAAGATATTCTCTTGCCATGGAAACACCTAATCCTAAGGAGAGTAGTGCACCTGTAAACAAGCAAATGATGGTCTACATCTGTGGAGGTGAGATTGTCAAGTGTTCTGGAATTGATGTTCAGTTCAGTTGTAGTATTACCCTCTTCCAGTCTGATACACCCCTTTCTTTGAAACTACTCAACTTAAACATAACAATCACTTCCTAATATGTTGACTAATGATCCACGCTCAGACTTGGACATTGAATGCAGAAAAGTACGCTGAATAAATATTTTATCCTTCTTTCATGATCAGACGTACTCATTCTTCAGCCTAAAAATTCTGCAAAATGTTGACAAGGCGAAATTTTAAAGGTGACATCGTTTAACCTCTGCCCCTGAAAGTGAAGGCATGCGATTTGCATATAAACTCCAGTCTAGATTGGTACAAGTCCAAGTTTTGATATAAACATGACAATTAGCATGATATGTACAGTTCAGCAGTTTGCTGGCATGACTATAGAAAGAATATGAAGAAACAGATCACCGAAGTTGCCATCAACAAATGTTAGACTGATATTGATGGATTTCACACCGAAGAGTTTTGGATAGGTTTTTCATATTTCATGCACCCGTCAATATTCTTGCTTGCACGTTTTCAGCATTGAAAGGCCCAGCTAGCACTTCATAAAAATATTACATGGCATGAAGTTAAGCGCCTCACATGAAGTGCAGAGAATGTTCCTTCAAGGTTACTGCAATGTTAGATTTCAGCTGAGCCCAGAGAGGTGTCATTGTTCAAAGGGTTCACTGATGCCAGTTTGGGGGGGAGGGAGTGGCCCCCACTTTCTTGACCGGGAGGGCATCAGCGTCCCTCCCCCTGGTCAGAACACAATGGATCGGGGCTTAATGGATTGGTCTGTTGATGGCTGATGCCCGATGATCTCACAATTGTTCCTCCCTATTTGAAAATCTTTCTGCCACAGTTGTCAAGGTTGTTGACTTTGTGTTTTGTGGTTTTTTGTTTGTAGAATGTCACCATGAGAATGAAATTCGTACCCGTGATCCCATCCGATGCAGGGAATGTGGTTATCGCATCATGTACAAGAAAAGAACTAAACGAAGTATCCTTTTTACAAAAATGCTATTTTGGCAAGAATTAGTTGCATATCAAGGTATTTAATGAGATTTTCTTCTCTATTCCGCCTTGACATTCCAAAGTCACTTGTTAGTGTTTCAGGAATTTGTTAGGGCCACCCCGTGGGAAAAGTCAAGTAATATTAAAATGAAATAAAATAAAAACTTTAAAGGGTAGCTGCAATCAATGTTTTTGATTACAAACCTGTAAAATGCACCTTTGTACCTCAGTAAACCTTATTCTAAGCTTTGGTTTCACTATTTCAAAGGGTATTTTAATGCCGTTTTTGTTTTTATACTAATGAGTTTTTCCATATTCATAAGCAAAACTGTGATGTCATCTCAGGAAGAAGCCTCAATGTTACATTGGTTTGTGCACAAAAAGTCCTGCGTTTTTGTAGGTTTTCCTGGACTAAGTTTTCTTGTTTTTGCTGTTTCATTGTTGTGTATGTGCAAAGCAATAAGAAACCATCAATTCCTCTCAGAAATGCTTTCACTTAGAAAATCTGGGTTTATAATTTTAACAGAAATACCTATGGACTGATCCATGTCTTCCTTAGATGATGTCACAGCAACAACACCCTCATTTGTCCGGGAACACATGGATAATTTTGAATGTTTAAAAGTGTGCACTTTTCATTGCATTTAACCAAATGTAGGTGTGTAAGAGTTTTCATACATTGAAGAAAAGTACAAAGATGCAGAAAAATTGCCTCGAAGAAAAATTCATTGCAGCCACACTTTCAGATTCAGAAAATGTCAAGTTTTGTTTCGAATCTTGTTTTGGTCACTTTTTCAGTAAATATTTTACAAGTGCAGTGACTGGAGTGGAATTATTAACCAAATGCACTTGGAGAATGGCAAATAAAGGTATCATATGGTTATTTAAAAAGTCTGCACAGGTGCTTCTTAGATTTGGTTTACTGTTTTAATACATGTTATATAACAAATTTTAGGAAAAAAAATCCACATAGAATCTCAACATTTCAAATTGGATTTGGTGTGACTTCTTAGAAAGAAAGGAGAAAAAACTATGTGTCCTTAACAGAACTTGCACAGTGGTTGTATTTGATGCAAGGTGATGATGGATCCCATCGGAAACCAGTGACAAAGCAGGCTGCCAGTGAACTATCACTGCTTGCTGTGTACATATTTGCGTTCCAGGACGTTGTGCCCGTATCCATTTAGCTGTCACGATCAGACCTTTCTGGGAATGATTCATGTGATCAGAATAGATCGGTCAAGAAAAAAAGGAGGACGTTGAACATGCTGCAGGAGATCTGAGCATGTACATGTAGCGCATGTACTTTAAACCTAGCAAGTATGTTATTATTTCGGTCAAGTGACATCCACGATCCTGTAGTGAAAAAAAAAGAAATAGCAAATCTCTTCTTTAACTTCTTTCCTTGTCCCTCAGTGAAAGGTTTCCGATCAATTCTAAAAATTTTCTGCCCATTTGAGATTTTGTAAAGAGCAGAGCTGGTCTGATTACGTACATAAGCAATATTCAGCTGGTAAAATGCTAAAATTATTAGGCGTTTACATGTATGTTCCTTTTCAGAAGTAACGTAACCGCCTTTTGCTTGTCTAGAAAGCATTATGTCCTTTCGGCTTGTATTGGGTAGTTTTTGTTTAAGTTAAGGTTAAGCCCACATAAATGCTGGGGAACTGTTTCTTGTTCCAGTGTAATGAAATGGAAGCCATGTTTAGAAGATCATCAGCCTGAGCCTTATTATGTTTTATTATTATTTGACTTGTACAAGCTGTTAAAATTTCTGACACAGTAAAGAGATAAATCATGGTAATCATTCTCAATCTCCGGATTCTCTCTTTTGCACTCTGTTTCAGCCGTGACAGGTGCAGCATGATCGTTTCGATACTATTGATTTTCCCCTACTTTCATCCCATTCCTACTCAAGGCTGTGATATCCTTGGAAAGGAAGATGTGACCTTGTGGAATAATTGCCTTACAACTGCTCACTTGATGTGAATGCCATGGAGCGACGCTTTGTTTGGTCGATGGATGATTCTCTGGGTCAAATTTCTGGAGGATTCCTCAAGTTGTGTAACTGACAAGCAGTCTACTTGCACATATGAAATTTGACTGAACCTGTTGTAAGGAACACTGACTCTGTAAAGCCCAAGATCTTGGGTTAGATATTCCAGCACAGCCTCTATTCCAAATGTTTGATAGGCATAAATGAATGTTGCTGATGGCATCATGATAGATCTCGGTCAGAGGTTACCAAGTGTGGTTCAAGTTGTCCATGTACATGTAGAAGTTTGTACAAAACAATATGCGATTACCATGATTAAGACTCAGAATCTCCAATACCGAGGCTCGAATCCAGAGGGTGCTGTGATTTTTACTTTTTAAAGATGATCCCTTCAAATACGAAAGACCAGTGGTCATTTGGGGATCCAGGTAATCAGTGGTACCCGAAGCTCTTGGTCCCAGGTTCAAGTACTGCTGAGGGAACCTGTCACGGGTGCAATTTCCATGGAGTTTGTGTACTCAACACGATAAAATTAAAATGAAACAAACATTTACTCTTTTTTAGATTGGTAAATGTTAAAGAACAAAAGGAAAAGTAATGGCCCTGTTGGTTCACGGTGGGATTTGAACCTATGACCATTAGATTGAGCGTCAAGGTGTCTACATGTACCACTAGGCCAATACATGCTTCTTAATTGAAGTGTTGGAAACTAAAATACGCCGAGTTGACTCTCGAGAATCAAAAGCTAATCAGCACGTAGGCACTCTACTTGCATCAAGATTCTGGATTTGGAAGCCAAGACAGCACCGCATCCCTTTGCTGTATACTGTATACTTTGGTTTGGCAGGTGTGTGCCCTTCTGGTGGACGAGAGGTCAACTCGACCAACTCGACTCCTGACCAACTCGACCGTCAACTAACTCGACCGTTGACCAACCTTACTTCAAAGTCGAGTCAACTCGACCATTTACCAACTCGCCCATGAATGATACATGGGTTTATTAGACAAACTCTTTCCTCAAAAAAATTAATATTAAAAGGGGAAAAATAAAGATCGGATCGGTTCCGGATCGCAAAATTTATGGATGCAATCAATAATTGAACTTGTGCCAATTTGATACTCCAAAATAATTTTCCCAATTTGAGAAGCACACACGCACGACCCCCCGAAACCTGTCACCACACTGTACCCATGCACAGATCACATCACGCACAGTAAAACAAATTACATGCGTGATCCAGAACTAGGCAAAATGCGTTCCTTCTTTGCCTTGTCCCTGTTGCACATGCACAGTTGCGTTGTTCGAGAGTCGAGTTGGTCGAGAGTCGAGTTGGTCGAGAGTCGAGTTGACCTTTATGGTTGAAGGAACAACAGTCGAGTTGGTCAATGGTCAAGTTGGTCGAGAGTCGAGTTGACTTGAGTCGAGTTGGCAAACGGTCAAGTCGACCTGAAACCCAAAAGCCAAGGTAACAGATTTCGCAGGTGGAAAACCTTGATGTGAAAAAAAAAGAAAACCTGGAAAATGATCATTTTCTAATGACCTACGAAATACATCTACATGGACACGTGTATTTCGACAATGAGGAAACTATAAGACTTTCATTCAAATTGGGCCACAAATTAGGTTTCCCCCATACACTATCAGTTGAAACATGGAATAATGTAGTGCGCATTTGGCCTCGTGGCAAAGAAGACACAGACGCGCTACATTATTCCTTGCTCCACAAGCGCAAGCATGGTAACGAATTTATCTTCAAGCAAACATGACGTGCAGTAAAGGGGCCTATGATCACTTGACATTAAAAAAAGAAGACAAAAGATATATGGCACACGGCAAAGACAATAGCACTGATGTACCACGATGCTGGAATTTTATTTAGGGAGCATGGGAATTATGTGTTTTAACTTATTTCAATAACGGCTCACACTAAGAAAGGAAATTGTAAGAATTGTGCGTGTGCATTTAAATGCTTGTGACAATCAGCACGGGCAAACATGCCGCCTTTGAATTTACAGTCATGCAGATGTGCGTTTGCTTTTAGTGTAAAAATAGCGCAATGCATCGAGTTAGAACAGTGCATTACGCAGGGTTTGATATGAACCATGTGATACAGTTAGAGCAATGGATTGACCAATCAAAACTGAGAATTCAAGTTTGCCTGAAGATACTGTGAACTATTGCCATACCCATTGGATGAGGTGAAAAAGAAAATCACTTCTTTGCAATTGAGAAAGCATAGCTGTTGTTTCTTCTGAAACACCAAAGTGGTCAAGGTGATTGAATCAGTGCCCATCTGATCCAATAGAAAAGTGTCCCGTCCTTTGGGGTCCATGCAAATTCCATACATGTACATTTATGAAATGATTACAAAATTCTCATATTCCACCTGTTTTAACAGAAATTGATGACCGAGCCACACCGTCGGCCCCACAAATGACAGCGAAATCAATTACATTAGCCTCCTTCGGCCAAAATATTGGAAAATCATTACCCATTAACAGGTTTCTATAGTAACTAGACCCATTAGTTTCTTCCAGAATTCTGGTTGGCCGTGCGTGGAGCAAATTAGACCTTTAAGTATAGGAAGACAGTGATTACGAAACCGCTCCATCTCGTCTCACTAGTCGATGTTGGATGCGGTCATCAACCACATCAAGTTTTCAGAGCAGAATGGGTCGTTTGAGAGAAAATTACTTGAATGTCTACGACACAGGGATTTTTGTAGTGCTTTTCTATCTAACCAACGGATGTTTGCACTAACTGTCATTGCTATGGCTACCCTGGATGCAATGTGAGAACAGCCGTGTCTCAAGAGAAGACAGCAATAGCTTCATTTTGTCTGCAAGTCTTGACTGAGAATGTTAGTGTCTTGTGCAACTGACAGAATAGAATGGTCAAAGTCAAAGTTTACTGTTGAACATCTTACATGTAACTTCCATCGTATCTTTGGCCAGAAACCTTCAATTCGCTTGTATGTTTGTCAATTGATTGAATAATACAGAATGGAGCCTCAATTATTGACACCATGTTTATCAGCCGGAACGAATTTAACAATGGAAGGAGAATTGTTACCAGTACTTGAATTCCACACAAGTGCATCACTTGCTACAGTCATTCTTCGCACACTGAGTATCGTGATCGCTTTCTTGCTGATCATAACGAGCAATTTCGTCAACTTGATCGTGTTACCCCGGACCAACTGTTTCGGGGAGGTGACCCAATTTCTTCTCATGTCATTGGCTGTGGAAGATTTCCTGATTGGGGTGTGCCTGGCATTCGCCATCTGGCCAGCTGTCGCCGATTTCTGGCCATTCGGAGATGCAGTTTGCAAGATCATCGGTAGTTTGGGGACTCTGCTAGCAGCCGCATCATCGCTGACTCTCATGTGCATCAGTGTGGATCGTTTCTTGGCGGTGACCAGACCACTGCGGTACGTCACCATCGTCACGCTCAAGCGAGCCCGTTTTGTCATCACTGCCGTCTGGCTGGTCTGCTTCATCTTCATTGCTTTCGTGGACACGGCAACTTGGCCACCTCTACAGAACATCGAGTACGATACTGTCCTCTGCAACTGCATTGTCAAGTTCTTTGATGACAGAGTGTTTCCCCGAGCCCTAGCAGCGGCTGCTGTGTGCGTGGTTCTACCTAGTATCATCATCACGGCCACTAATGCCAAACTTCTGGTGGTCACCATTGCACATGCAAAACGAATTGATGCTTTACCGAGGAACCATAATTTCAACGACGGTGGCCGCCGCATATCCTCAAGAGAATTCAAAGCTGTCCGTACAACTTTAGTCATCACTGGCATTTATTACATGGCTTGGGCACCGTTCCTAGCAACCCAAATATACCTGGCCTTCTCATCTGTTGCTATAGCGGACTGGCTCCACTTTCTGTCTGGCTATCTCGTCCTTAGCAACAGTTGGTGGAACGTCTTCATTTACTCCTTCATGAACAAGAGTTTTCGGAAAACACTGGCTGATTTTGTTGCCGCTAAGTGTGCCTGTTACCAGCGAAGTAACGATGGGGAAATGATGCCAACCCAAGCCTTTGTTGTGACAGATGGAAGAGCCATTTCCACTCCACAAGTTTCTTAACTTTCATCATTGAACATACAATTTTAAATAAAATGTAACTTGTCTTTAGCCCATAAAATTTACTGACTAATTCATCAATGCGTAATGGTTTATCAATAATCCATCTATTCATCAATCGCCTTATCAATGAGCCACTCATTTTTTGGTACAGAACTTGGCAACGGACGAAAATAAACATGAGTGAACAACTGTTTAAAACTTGGAATCAGCATTACTGTTTTAATGCAGGTCTTCCCGTTTCGACTCCCCACACAAAATGACTTGATTGTGTTGTAAACCTTCAATCACAACTCGACAATTAGTACTTTCTTTGACAAACATAGAGAGAGAGAGAGAGAGATACATGTGTATGTATGTGATGTGTGGACAGAAGTGCCATCGAGTGCAAATGTTGCTGCTATGTTTGGTTCATTTTTTTATAATAAAACGGTTTGGGCAAGCAAAATAAAAAGAATACGCTCAGTTTCATCAAAACTGTGCCGAAATTCGTAACTTTGTGCTTGCTTCCATATTTGTACAAAACTCAACTCGTATTACTCTACAACCAAACCAAACCAAACTAAGACAGCGTATTCTTGTTGGTTTTGTAAAGTTCTGATCAAATTCTCTCTCCTGGATTTTCAGTGTCTCCAGATGAGTGAAAGCAGTGAGGTCCTTTGGGCTATGCATTAATTCAAAACCAAGGATTCGTTCCATGGCAAATGTCAGAAAGATGTATGTCAAATGTTTGTTACACACTCCTCACAGAAAATTTCGATAAAGTACGAACAGAATTCTTCCAACAATCTGGAAAAAAAATCCCTTGCTTAAAGCAATCATTTACACATCATTCCAATCCAGACCTTGATTTTTCCTTCAGCATTTTTTTTTCATTTTATCCCTGCCCTCTACACTATAAATGCACTTGGCAAAACCCTTCACCAGAAGCAAGCCATAAGGACATTGCCTACAGAACAAACAGTGTCGGAAATTTCTGCATATCCACAATAAGTCCATATCGGGTTGTGACAAAAATCATGGTTGTCACAAAAGTTACTACTCCAGATGGTGCTTTTGTGACAACCATTTTTGAGCATATTTGCCTATTTCGAAGCTACAGTGTTCCATTAAGATCTGTTTGGACTTCTTCAGAGCAAGCCATTTGTGAAACCTATCCCCTGGCTTTACTATAAGTATCTCAAATTGACATTGTTAGCTGGAAAGAGCCAGCACACTTTAGAGGTGGGCCGTGACTGAAACGGTCAATTGTCTGTGGCTGTGGCGACAAGCTTGTGACAAACAATAAAGTCCTAGCCACTGGATATCTGATTTGGACACGGCTTCAGGCTACGTCTGAATTTGGCTTATTTCCAGCTTTGGCTTGGATTTTGAAACCACAGACAGCTCCGCTCCTTTTGCAAATATTGCAACTTGTTCTCACTCCGCACAGTGGGATCACTTTGAAAAAGTTGCCTTTAAAAAAAAAATCCAGTATTTTTAAATCCCGCTAAGGTAACAGGCAAATCAGAATAGAATGTCCTCCTATCCTTGTATTTTGTAGAAAAGTTTAAAACTTTGCCTAAATTCTATGCTAGAGCAAATACAAATCAGTTTTTTATGCCAGTTTCACAGATTTCTCCTTTTTTTCTTGAAAAACATTGAAAAACAACAACAAAAAAGTAATGACCAATTTTCAACCTTGCCCACATCAGTAAAGACTTGCTATGTCCCTCACAATTATAAAATGGCCGCTGCTTTCCTCGATGACTTATTTCTCACGCCTGAATAGAGAAAACAAAAACACAAGCACGCACTACATGAGATTGAGGCATGGGTATCCGGTCGGAAAATGCCACCTACAGGGTCATGAAGAGGGAAAGCTGAGGTTTTGGGACAGCGTTTTCTCTTTCTGAACACTGACTGTCCCTTACATTGTTGAGATACGCCACACCTAACTCGTGGGTAACGCCAACGACGGATAAGGGTTTGATCTCCAACGTCATGGAAGGGAGGCATGTCACGGCATTTGGCTCTGCGTCCCATGGTGTACGTTGGGGGGGAGGGGTAGTCTGTAGGTTTGGGGAGGCAAAGCGACCTGACAAATATGACCAGGCCTCACAAAATGAGTCTAAAGGCCACATTTACAAAAAATTTGTTTTAAGGTCCATTAGATAAAGCAACCCAAGCTTTGTTTCGACGTAACCCTTAATTTGGCAGTCTTGGGGTTCTTTAAACAGCCTTAAATTAAGCTGCTCTGGTAACTGGTGAATCATTACGTTAGGTTTGATCAGAAATGAGATTTACTTTACAATATCAGCCCTCTTTACCATATAAACCGGGTGGGGAGAGGGAACTTGACAGCTGAAGATGGAGGACTGACAAGAGGTACTCAGACCAGGATTCTTGAGGTCACAATGTCAGGTTCAGGAGTGGGGGGTGGGGAATCAGGTGACTTACTTCTTCTGTGCGATACTGCTTAGCAGCCGGTTGCCAGTGAGGAAGGTGAAGATGCCTAGGAGGCCGAGGTACTGCAGCGTCTGGAACATGTTGAGATAGACCCAATAGCAGTAGAACAAGCCCAGAATGGCTACAAGAAGAAACCAGAGGGAATGACATGAAATACATCATCCTGAATCTTGGACTTCAAACGACGGTAACTGCAGCGTCCCGACATGGTAGACAGAGGATTTGAACTCCTTTAACGGGGTAGCACTAGTCTAGAGTGGACCAAAAGAGGTCAGGAATTTGAACATTTTACTACGCTTTTTAAGAATGTTTCAGTATGGGTGCGTAAGCTTCTTGTAAACAGCCCTAGAACACTGGCTAACTAAAAACTTGGACCAACTCAACATTTTGAAGCAGGATCCAGAGATCGGGTAAAAATCATTGGGAAAAGTCTGAAATTAAAACACCTGTTTTACGAGCCCACAGTAAAACGCAGGTGTGTGAGAAGCTACATACATGTACATGTACACACATGTATACATGTGTAAAAACTGCCATTTTGTCATAACGAATAGCACCCTCTTGTTTTCTGCAAAAAATGCCCTCTTCTGGCCAAAAGTACCCCTTTTGCAAGAACTTTTAAATTTTTTTCTTTTTATGGAAATTGGATTATTTCGACTTTCTGCAGTCTGAAAACCTAGAAAACAAGACAGCTCTGATTAAATTGGAACAGTTAGCAGGTATGGGATAGACAAAGAACTTGATAAAAGTAATGCACTGTCTCAAAACTCGTTACTGTAAGATCAAAAAGATATGCCTGAAGCAAAAACAGGAAAGGGATGTAAAGACCAACTATCTGAACTGGAGTTGCACGTTTTTAAGCAAATAGTACCTAAGCCTGAACCGAGAACGTTTCTCTACACCAACTGTAGTAACCTTGCTTCTGGAAACACATACCTCCGAGTCCAAGATGAAAGCCGATGGCACCGATAGAGAACGTAAAGCCCTTCACATTAGCACCCAGTTTCAACCACTGTGAAAACAGGAAAGTCATACATACAACTTCCTTACCCACTCTACAAACGACAAAACCTTTCTGTTCGTAACAATTTCCTTTTTATTTTACAAACTTGCCTAAGTCGACTAATTTTCCAGATGTGCTTTTGCAGTGATTTGATGAACTATGGACGGAAGATCCAAGCCACTATTTCATTACATTAGGCCTGCTGTCACGATCTTCAAGTAGAAAGGATGGAGTGCTGGGTTTACCACACAGCGGTGGATTTTGGAAGAGTCAGAAAGTCTGATGCCTACCAGAATGATGAGAATCAGTAGAGGGACGAGGCACAGCACGGTGAAGGTGGTGGACACGGCGGTAGGGGGCCGTTTCTCCGGCACACGGAACATGTGCTTGATCTCGGGCAGCTCAGCATAGCGAGCCTGGCCAGCAGGCTTGGTGTCCTCCTGCTCTGGGAATTTCAGGGTCACATCAGCCTGGCAGGAAAGGGAAAAGGGTGTGAAGAGTGGATCAAGAGACTCAGAGGGACACAGTAAGGAGAGGTGTGAACGTCATGCTCCAACTGGCCCTCGGTGGTGAAACTGTGACAAACTCTTGTCGGATGAGGGTAACTCTTGACAACAGGGTAGATTTGATACAGAAAATGTTCTAGTAGAATCGCAGCATTTTTCCTATTCAAATAAACATCACTTTTTTGAGCATGAGGTTGAGTCGAAATCGCATGCTGTGAGGCAGATTTCAGAATTCAAGTGAATGCACTGCACAAAACAATGCCTGTCAGGAATTCTAAAATGAATCGTGATGTTTAAGAAGTAAACAGAGGGAACTTTGTGGTACGTAGAGCTCTAACGGGTGAAGATTGGCTCATTATCATTTTGGCACTTGTTCTTACCAAGTTCCAGGAGAAGGGATTCATGATGATGGCATCGCCGATGATGAGGTCCAAGGTGTACTTGTCAGACTGCTGGTTGAAGTACTCGCGACCGCTCTCTGCAACATCAAGACTGAACTTGTACATCATGGACGCATCGCTATCAGCTGTGAAGATGACCTCTTGCTTTGTCTTGATGTTGGACAAGCGAACAAACGCCTGGGGGAATAGAAAGAGTGAATGTAAATGACTTTGCTTAAATTGGTTTCCTTTTTTCAGATGTAATCGATATTGACCCTAATCCCTGGGGTGTATATAAATATGATATTAAAACTCTGAGGATTCAGGACCTTGAGGGTTCACAGCATGTCTTCTGTTATCCTAACGACAATCTAGATCCCCCTCCTGAAATGATGCGAATAAGGATTAACCTACCTGGTGGACGGATAGCGGTTGTCCAGCCTTGTCCTTCAGGTTGAATTTCAAGACCACGCTCTGGTGATGGTCAGCTTCCAGACCCTTGTCCACCTTCCTGGGGTGGACAACCCTTTTAAAAAAGGGGGAAAATAAAACAATATTATCAAAGTAACTCCTTGCTGCAAGTCGGCAACATGCAACTTACCACAGTGAATCAAGCTGACATCAGGTCTTTTTGATATGTGTGCTTGTCTCCTTGATAAGAGGATTTTTCTATTTCAGTGTAATTTTTGCCACAGAAGTCCTTACTCTTTCTCGTTTTTATTCCGTTCATGATTAATGCTCACTTGACGGTCTTAGCTGTGATAGACTGGTCCTTGTCGATGACGGAGATCTCCATGTTGTCCACAGTGACCTCGGTCGTGACCTTGACAAGCATGGTCCCCTCGCTGAGGCCAATCAGGGCAGGGTTCGGAGAAGTAGGTGTGGCCTTTAGAGCCACTGCATAGAAGGCAGGTGCTGGCTTGGATTCCATGAGGTTCAGCTGGTACTCCGTCCTACAGACCCACAGTCATTGAACAATGGTGACAAACAATGGCAGGATACCAGTGATTCCTGTGATTAAGGTTACCTGTGGGGCTGTTTTCCATGGACCTTCTCAAATTATCTACTGTGTTAAAACCAGTGACAAGTTAGATATAATTTGAAGGTTTACATGGTGAGAGTTGATCAACAAGTTTGATGTGGCACCATAGAACAATCCTCTACTGTGAGGCTCTTTGCAGATCTTCACAAACAAGAATTACTACATCGTGTTGGGCCACAAAAAACACATTACTTTGTCTCTGGTCAGACTGATATTCCAAAGTATATGCGGTGACACAGCCTTTTTTTCCTCCTCAAGGGTGAAACTGTACAGACAATTGCAGACACACGTTGTTGAGTCAGGGGACTAGAACAGCTTTATTTTGATTATAAGCTGACAACACACAACTTTGTATCTACAGTCTGCTATCATTGTTCAACACCGATCTTGTTGGGATCTATCGCCCTGAGTAAAAGATCGAAATGCCTGAAAAAATGTCAAGGCAGGGTGCAATAGAGGGTGCTAATGCAGCTCTCCCAAGAGAGAAAAAAAGAAATTGATGTGCATGCTTGAAATTGACGAGTGCGCTGACCAGAGACGAAAGACTTTTGGGGGGGGGCTTTACCACAATTTTTCCCCTGATGACAAGTTATGTGTGTTTTCAAGGGGCATCAAGAGTCATCTATCTTAATATTGGCTGGTCTCTATTTTCCTTAACCCTCCTTTGGTTTTACAGCACAAATGTGCACAAATGCCCACAGTCACTGGTGAGCATGT